TCCCACTACCATCCACCAATCTATTTTACCTTTTTGATGCATTTCAAAGTAAGTGGTAGATACCGATACACTTCTTCCCAAATATTTCAGCATTTATATCCTTAATTGGAGTTCAATTTTTTCATAGTTCTTTTCTTTCCTTTGACATATAGTGCATAGATACTATATGCATATTAGATACATTTTGACAAATACATTGATTTTGTTGTGAAATATGTTTAGAAATACGTTTATAACATACTTTTAGTTAGGATCTGGAGGCATATTTGTCTGGACAGTTGGTTGGATCAGTTTTTCAGTATTGATCTTCTCTGCAAGGGTATGTACTGTGTCTTTATTCACTGGTATACCATCAGTGATGAGTCTGTAAGGGAATTTTAGAATTAGGTAACTGAGATCTGAAGTGGCAGACTTGAGGTTTGAGAGTGACTCCTCTGCGGTTAGTTCCATTTCCACCCTAGCAACAGCCATTTTCCATGCAGAGATAATCATGAAACTAAGAAATGTCCAGCAATGGTGATGTAACAACCCTGAGAAACCCTTCCATCACATACCCTTATGATCACCACATTGTAAGCAATCTAAGAGAGACATGCATATCTTTTTAAACCAATCAACTTGTGAGCTTCTGCTACAGGAAGTGCTGTCTTACGAGTTCCTGCCAGAGGAAGTTCTGCCTTAAAATGATCTACTACCAATCAAGTGGTGTCTTTCAATGATCTAAGTTTGTAAATACCAGTCAAGTACTGTACTTCATGTTCTTTATTTCCCCCTTATAAAATGTCACTGCTGAGTCACCATATTGGACTATTGGATTCCATTGCGTGGAGTTCAGTCTATTTTCAGCTTGAGCTCTCTCTTTACTTTCAGTAAGTCTGTCAATTTTATGTTAATCAGAGTATGGATACTTACTCTGTGACATGAGTATAATGCCTGGAGCAAAATAGGTGCTCAAGATATGTGTTTTTCTTTCATGTGTTTGTTTGATCTTTGTTGAGCTGAGCTAAGTTTGTGATTTTCAGGTCCCTTACAGCTGTGGAGTGAAATGAATGCTTGCGTAAAAGACATGTTTATATGGAAGCTGGAATACATTTGTATAAAAATACATAATATATTTAAATTATACATATAAATCTGTGATTAGATTGGTTGGATCTTTTGTTGATTTATTAATGAATATGTGGGTATATATTTGAAAATATGTGCTTTGGGGTAAGTGAGCATGACAGTATATTTGAAACTCTTCAAGTATGTGTATTAGTCTCTATTTAATTGTGTGTTTCTAAAATTATGTCTATATTCTAAATAATCTCTATGATTAATACAAGGAGATACAATTTATATGTTTGAAGGATCAAGATATGTGATAAGTTACTTGAGCATTGGGCAGCTACATGAAATATATTTGTGTGAATCTGTACATATCTGTGTGAATTTGAAAGAGGCAGTGTGTTAGTAAATGAATAGCTGAATGTGTCTATGGGTATATCTGTGAGGGTCTCAGAATGTCTATGACTGTGTATGTGTGTGCACATATGTGTACAGGGTATACGCATTCCCCATCAAGGAAGGATTAGCATAGTAACGGATATGGATGATTACATCAGGGATAATGGGGCCAAGAGCAGAATTCTCCTAAGAGCAATTCTCCTATGGTCCAGCTCACTGCTCCCTGCCGTCATCCTCCCCCTTACTCCCGCTCCTCCTCCCCCAACTGTATACAAACAAGCCTTGGGATTCTTGGGTATTCATAAACTGTGAGACATAGAAGAGATATCTGATGCCACTCTGCTGGCTAGACTCACAGCACAGTACATCCAGCAACAGGGAAAAGAAACATCTTCCATCCAGTGAGTGCTCCCTTCTTCAGACTGCCTATATGGGCTCTTTAATCTAGACTGTATCTCAAACCTCAACACTCTTACTGCAACCCAAGGCAGACTCTGACCCTCATGAGCCCTAACATGAGCAAATATATCCCCTTCCACAGCCCAGAATCACAGATTCTGTTGCTAGGGTCTCATCTACATCAAAACACTAATCCAAAACCATATACTCTTAGGATAAGAGTCTTATGTGTTACGTATAGATTTTGTCTTTTTAAAACCCTATAATTTAATGTCTCCTATATCTGGCTTTTGGGTATGCAGCTGGAAAAAAAATCACAGAACCAAATGAATGAAGTCATTTAACAATGTGATTTTCAGTATTAGCTGGATTTTCGGTGTTGAGTATGTCATGGGAATATAATTGGTGGGAATATTACTATGGGTCTGTTAAGGCTGGTGCATTCATGGCATTGTGTGTGTGTGTGTGTGTTCATGTGTGTGTGTGCGTGTGTTCATGTGTGTGTATGTGTGTGTGTTTATAAATATATGTTTAGGAGAGTATAAGCATCTAAGCATGGGAAGATATTTGAAATATATTGGATAATACCAATGAGTAGGTATGAGTCTTCTCAAGTTATGTAGCTGTAGTAGTGTTTATGCATGATCAAGGGAGAGTGCAATAGTTTCTGTGTATGTGGATGTGATACAGTGCTTCTAAATATCTGAGTATGTACATGTATGTACATATGTAAGACTGTATATTTGCGAATACCTTTGAGCCATGATGTATATGTGTGTGTGTGTGTGTGCTCGTGCACATGCTATGAGAGAGGAGTGCATTACTTTTGTCTATCTCCATCTCCTTGACCTTTATTCCCTGGTTGGTCACGCTTAGGAAGCCTTGGATGATTCCCTAGTGGTCACAGCAGAGGAAAGATGGTTGCAGGGTGGTGGTGGGCATTGTTCTTCCTGGAAAGAGTTTTCAAAATTGCTTTCCAGACTGCAGGAAATCTGGAGCATGGATGAAATATCCCCTTCTGGACTACATAAATTTGCACACCAGAGATTAAGGACAGCAGGGTAAACCTAGAAGGAGTCCTGGTGGTGCAGTGGTTAAAGCACTCATCTGCTAAGCAAAAGGTCTGCCGTCTGGACTGTAAAGATTACAGCTTTGGAAACCCTATGGAGCAGTTCTACTCTGTCCTATAGTATCGTTATGAGTCGGAATCGATTCGACAGCAATGCGATTTTTGGGGGGCAGTTTCAGGGTAAATCTAGTTTGTGGGAAAGTAGTTCATTTCTGTTGGTGCCCCTAAGAGTTTTTCCATTTCTTCAGAACCCAGAAACAATCTTGGAGTAAAGATGATAAAAAAGCAGATCTACACAGTCTGGATCTAAGCAGGCTTCTTGGAACCACTGACTTTAGATCTGCGTTCGGAGGAAGAAAGAAGTTTAGAGGGGAGCCTAAGGAACAAGAAATTTTACTCATTAAAGCAGTGGTTTGCATTCTCAGTTAGAGGAGAGAGAAACTAAAGGAATAGAAAAATTCCTTCTCACCGGCCATGTATCTTTGGGGTTATAACAGATATGTGGTCATTACTCAGGTTCTTGTCATCATCTAATTTCACTGTGTTTACCCAGGAGGATTAGAAAAAGGATTGAAACTGTAGAAAAGAATGAGGTTTTAATTTTGAAATAACGGGTACCATGGAAAGACATTTGCAGAGATATTTTGTGGGAAAGCTTGAGAAGTCCTTTATGCCATGGTTTCTCAATTTGCACCATTCTGACTGTTGCTTATTTTGCTTGGAGTTGGGCTGATACTGCTTAAGAACAAAGACAGAGGAAGAGGAATCAGTAAAGATGGTAGAGAGGGAGAAGCAAAGGTGGGGGGAAAATCGAGGAGGAGTCGTACCTCCGAAGGAAGTGACCAACAGTGAAAAGGTGAGTGAACAATAGTGTTAACTCTGGTAGGGAGGTCAAATAGATTAGGAAAGAGAATGCATTCATTAGATTTAGAGACAAAGAGGTCACTGATGACCACAGAGAAATCGGTTTCAGTTGGGTGTGGGGAGTCTGGAAGCTACATTACAGTAAACTGAGCAGTGAATGGAAGATAAGATCACTAAGACTGCATCCCTGACACTGTAGATCTTTGAATCAAGTTGGAGGTAGATCTCAGAATTACGTTGGAGAAGCAGACACATAAACAGATAAATCACAAACTTCTCTTTGGCAACTGGAAAGAATGTTTCAAGATGTTTGAGAATATGGGAAGGGTAATAGAGTGACAGAGAGAGAAGATACTTTTATGTTGGGAGGGCCTTGCACATGCTTATTAACTGAAGGAAATGAAACCAGAAAGGAAGAGGTTGAAAAGACAATACAATGGACTTATGAAAGAGGTCTCTGAGAGAGGTGGCAAGGAACAGAATCCTGGAGGTGGAGATGTGGCCTTGCAGAAGAACAGACAGCACTTTCTCAGATACCACCCATAGTCATTGAGTCTATTCTGACTCAAAGTGATGCTATAGGACACAGTAGCTCTGCCCCATGAGGTTTCTAGGCTGTCTCTTTACAGAAGAAGACTGCCACATCCTTCTGTGAAGTGGCTGGTGGGTTCGAACTGCCAACCTTTTTGTTAGCAGTTGAGTGCTTAACCACTGCACCACCAGGGATCCTCCCCTCAGATACCAGGGGGGTAAGAATGAATAAAGGTGTTTGTAGGTAGTGGAAAGTAATCAGTCTTTCTCTTAAAACACTTGCTTCTTTGGGTTTTATCCAGCTGCACACTCAGTTTGATTTTAGAAATTATCAAACGTTGGGGGTTACTATGTGAATGTGAAAGAGAGACAAAGAGGAGATGAAGATACTGGTCTTAGTGGGGGAGTAGGTTTAGGAAAGAAAGTGAGAAGGGAAGAGCTAATAGATCAATAGAGCAGAGGAAAATGGAGGAATTTATGGAGACATGAGAGCAAGTGAACAGACATGAGAAGAAGGGAGAAGGCAGCAGTCAGAGTATGAAATATTGGAATTTAAGATTTCAGAAGTGAATTAGTTTTTGGTGATGACAAGTTTAGAGGTGACCATAGGAATGCGGGACTAACGTGAGGTCTGGAAAAAGGTTTTTGAAGCTGTAATTTTGCAACTATAGAAGTTTCATCTGCACCATTTACCAAAATATTTCCAAAAGCATGAACAGTATTTTTTTTTCTTCTCTATCATAATTTCTGTTTTTCTCCAAATCCGAAGAATAGACCTCTGGGGGTGAGATGCAGAATTACAAGGATGTTGCAATTTAAGATGAGGATTAGGGAACTTTGGTAATGTTTGCCCCTACCTTGTTTTCTTACCATGTTATGGGTATTCACTATCATCAAACCTTTATGGAGTTTCTTCTGTGGCTGAGACAATACACTGGCCACCAGAAGTACAGAAATGAGTAAAACCCAGGTGCAATCCTCAAAGAGCTCACAGTTTAGTGGAGTAGGCAGGAATATAGACAAACACTCTCAATCTCTGATCTTATGTGTTAGGGACAGGATATCTGAAAGAAAGAAAGTGAAGACCTCCTGGAAAACATCCTCTTGGGCTCATACCCAATCTGTATTCTCTCACCTGCCGACCATGCGGGGCTTCAGTGTCACTCCTTTCCAGCCAGCTACACTCCAGCTGACAGGTATTCCTGGGATGCAGACAGGCCAAGCATGGGTTGCCCTGACTTTCTGCATCCTCTACCTGATGTCCATCACAGGCAACCTCAGTATTCTCGTTCTGGTGGTTCAGGAGCCTGCTCTGCACCAGCCTATGTACTGCTTCCTCTCTATGCTCTCTCTCAATGACTTGGGAGTGTCCCTCTCTACACTTCCCACTGTGCTTGCCACCCTCTGCTTCAATTACCGCCATGTTGGCTTCGATGCCTGCCTGGTCCAGATGTTCTTTATCCACACTTTCTCTTTCATGGAATCAGGCATGCTGCTGGCCATGAGCTTTGATAATTTTGTGGCTATTTGTGACCCACTACACTATGCCACAGTGCTCACAAATAGCGACATCTTGGCCTTGGGCCTGGGCATCCTGGCCAAGAGTTTCATTGCTCTCTTTCCTTTTCCCTTTCTGGTGAAACGACTGCCCTTCTTCAAGGGCAATGTCTTGCATCACTCATACTGTCTCCATCTAGATCTCATGAAAGTGGCATGTGGAGACTTCCATGTTAACAATGTCTATGGACTCTTCGTGGTCATTGTCACCTATGGCATAGACTCAACTTTCATCTTGCTATACTATGCATTGATCCTGAGAGCCGTGCTGGCCATTGCATCCCAAGAGCAGAGGCTCAAGGCACTTAACACCTGCATGTCACATGTCTGTGCAGTGCTGGCCTTTTATGTGTCTATAATTGCTGTCTCCATGATCCACTGCTTCTGGAAAAATGCTCCACCTGTTGTTCATCCTGTGATGTCCAGTGTCTACTTGTTTGTACCTCCCATGCTCAACCCCATCATCTACAGTGTGAAGACAAAGGAGATTCTCAGGGGGATCCTCAAGGTCTTCCAGAAATCCCAGAACTGAGCAGGCTTAAGACCCTCAGAGAGCTCCTTTGGAGAAAGGACTGGAACTTATTTGCCATCCTTAGGAATGCTAAAACAAGGAGGAGAGGATCTTGGTAGTTGCGAACCATGGGACTAATAAAAAACATTTCATTCAATTTAACAACACAAATGTTTATTGAACATCTATTGTGTGCAAGAATTTACTCAATGGCAACTGGTTTGGTTTTTGGATTGTGTGCAAATCATTGTGCTAGCTGTTGAGTGTCAACAGTGATGAGTAAAAATGTATTGTTAAATAAGGAAATAGACGTGTCAAGAGAAAACTATAAAAAAGAACAAGTGCCCTGAAAATTTTTTGTTTGTCTTATATGGAATAATGGAAGTCCTGCAGGGCAAATAAGCTTGAACAAATAATTCTACTACCACCCAGAGTGAAGGAAATAAACAATAGAACCAAACAAAATGCTATGGAAGCTTGGCAATTCAGGTGAGAAAGTGTACCCTTTTGGTTTGTGGAAACCAGGACACATTTTTTAGGGTGTTTCTGATGTAGTTATTCAAGGATAGAAGGGGTTAGAGATCTTGGTGAAGGGTGGCAGGGAGAAGGGAGGGTAATAACCGTGGCAGAAGGAACTACCTGAGAAGAAACATTTTGTCAGTAAAGTTTAGATCCTTGCTACTCCAAGCATGGTCCAAAGAATAATGGCATAAGCATACTTGGTAGCTTACAAGAAAAACAGAATCTTAGGTCCCACACAAGAGCTACTGAATCAAACTGCATTTTAACATGACCCTTGAACAATCTACATACATATTAAGGCTTGCAAAGTACAGCGCTTCACTTTTCTAAAAATCTTCTGGCCCTTAGATCACAACATGAGTAACAAGAGTCTGGGAAAGTGGTTCTCAAAGTATGATTCAGACAGACCAGCATCATCAGTACCACGTGGGTACTTGTTAAGCATGCAAATTCTCAAGCCCCCTTCTAGGCCTCCTGAACCAGAAAATTTGGGGAGTGGGACCCATCAATGTATGTATTAACAAGTCCTCTGAGTGATTCAAATGCATGCTGAAGTTTCAGAACCACTGGTCTAGAATATTTGGGAGAACTGCAAATAGCTTTATTTGGACCAAGGGGAGATTTCACATTGAGAAGCTTGGAGAAACAAGGTCTTGAGAGATTGCCTAAATCAGATTGTGGATGGGTTTTAAAACTATGGAAAACAGAGTGCATCACAACTAGGCAGATGGTGGTGTTAGTGAAGGGAAAATCAAGCTAAAATATTTATTATCTTGAAGAGGTGACACAGGTAGAACTCAAACAGATTCAAATGAGATTTTGATGAACAATCTCCAGATATCCCACAATTACTATGGTGCTCTTCCCCCATGATAAAATTCCCCTTCTTTTCTCCCAATTTCCGTATCTAGTCATCCCAACCTACCTGATATCCAAATTTCAGGCAAGCCTCAATTTTAGGTCTGCCATCTAGGCAAACAGATCTTAGAGGAAAAAAAAAAAAAAAATCAGTTTGTTATCACAATGAGATGGGGGATCAGACAAGAGGATTTGAAGGTTATACCCAATCTTGCAGATACTCTTGAGTTTCTGAGGCTGTGTGTATGTCAATTGAAAGAAGATGATCTATGAGCTTATAGCATAATGAGAACACTGCTATGTGCACAAATAGTGAGAAGGGGAGTCATAGAATGATCACAAAAACACTTTGCTGTTGTTAGATGCTGTCAGGTTAGCTCCAAGTCATAGCTATCTTACATACAACAGATCGAAACTTCGCCTGTTCCTATGCCATCCTCAAAATCATTGCTATCTCTGCTTTTGAGCCCGTTGTTACAGCCACTGTGTCAATCCATCTCATCGAGGGTTGTCTCTTTTTCACTGACATTCTATTTTACCAAGTATGATGTCTACCTCCAGTGATTATAATAACTACTATATATTTTGAGCCTACTGCATACCAGGTACAGGACTGGCTACATAACTTATAGGTTTCAGTGCAAAACAAAAATGCTTGTTTAAGTGGCGTAGTGGTTTAGAGCTATGGCTGCTAACCAAAAGGTCAGCAGTTCAAATCCACCAGGTGCTCCTTGGAAATCCTTGGGGCAGTTCTATTCTGTCCTATAGGGTCGCTATGAGGTGGAATTGACTCGATGACAATGGGTTTAAGAATTTCATGATGGAGACAGCAGAGCATTAAACCAAGTGCAGTGCCCTTTTGAGTGTGAGTACCTATGTGATTGTAAAAGTCACATGCCCATGAATCCAGTTCTAATGTTATCTAAAGCAGGTTCTGCTCAGTGCAGCTTGTCAATAAAGACACACTAAGGTGGGGAGGGAGGAAGAGCTTTTATTTCAAGTGGGCAGACAAGGAACAAGGAAGTGTCTGCCTCAAATCAAGCTCCCTGAACAAAGGCAGGCAGAACCTTTTATACCGTCTCTTACAAGGAAATACATAAAAACAGTATGGACTACATAGGTTATCATGGAAAGCTGGCGCAGTAAGACAAATTGTATTTTTTCTTTGGCATGTAGGCTAGTAAACTGGGTTTAACTGGCTTGAGCCCCACCCAGCACTTTGAGGACAATAGACAGGAGGGGTGGGTTCCACGCCCAGTTGAGCTACATCCAGTGCTATCACTTAAGGCTGGCTTTGTTTGATAATGACTAAGCAGCTACTAGCTGCATTGTCTACCACTAAAAAAAAAAAAAAAAAAATTGCCATCGAGTAGATTCTGATTCACAGCAACCCTATAGGACAGAATAGAACTGCCCAACAGGGTTTCCAAGGAGCACCTGGTGGATTCCAACTGCTGACGTTTTCATTAGCAGCCAAACTCTTTTTTTTTTTTTAATTGTTGTGCTTTAAGTGAAAGTTTACAATTCAAGTTAGTCTCTCATACAAAAACTTATATATACGTTGTTTTGTGACCCTAGTTGCTCTCCCTATACTGTGACAGCACACTCTTCCTTTCCAGTCCTGATTTCCTATGTATATTCAACCAGCTCCTGACCCTCTCTGACTTCTCATCTCGCCTCTGGACAGGAGCTGCCCATTTAGTCTCATGTATCTACTTGAGTTAAGAAGCACACTCTTCATGAGTATCATTTTATGTCACATAGTCCAGTCTAATCTTTGTCTGAAGAGTTGGCCTAGGGAATGATTTCACTCCTGGGCAAGCAGAGAGTCTGGGGGCCATGTCCTCCAGAGTCCCTCCAGTCTCAATTAAACCATTAAGTGGTCCTTTTACTAGAATTTGAATTCTGCACCCACTTTTCTCCTGCTCCATCAGAAACTCTCTGTTGTGTTTCCTATCAGGGCAGTCATTGTGGTAGCCAGACACTATCTAGTTCTTCTGGTCTCAGGGTGATGAAGTCTCTGGTTTATGTGGCCCTTTCTGTCTCTTGGGCTAACACTTTCCTTGTGTCCATGGTGTTATTCATTCTCCTTTACTCCAGGTAGGTTGGGACCTAGATGGCCACTCACTAGCTTTTAAGACCCCAGATGCCACTCACCAAAGTGGGATGCAGAACGTTTTCTTAAAAAACTTTGTTATGCCAATTGACCTAGATGTCCCCTGAAAGCATGGTCCCCAGACCCCCGCCCCTGCTACTCTGTCCCTTGAAGTGTTTGGTTATATTCAGGAAACTTCTTAGCTTTGGTTTAGTCCAGTTGTGCTGACTTCTCCTGTAGTGTGTGCTGCCCTTCCCTTCACCTAAGATAATTCTTGTCTACTTTCTAGTTAGGGAATAACCCCCTCCCTCCCTCCTTACCTTAGTAACCATCAAAGAATGTTGTCTTCTGTGTTTAAACCTTTTCTTGAGTTCTTATAATAGTGGTCTTATACAGTATTTGTCCTTATGCGACGAAGTTCGCTCAGCATAATATCTTCCAGATTCCTCCATGTTATAAGATGTTTCATGGATTCATCGTAGTTCTTTGTCGTTGTGTAGTATTCCATTGTGTGAATATACCATAATTTGTTTATCCATTCATCCACTGATGGGCACCTAGGTTGTTTCCATCTTTTTGCTATCATGAACAGTGCT